TATAACATTGACGCGAATTTTATTAAAACCTGCGCTTTTTTTTTTTAAGGTTGTTAAAAGCATCTCACAAAGATCAGTTTCATCCATTTGAGGACTGAACTTTTTTAAATAAGAATTAAAACTTGATGAGCTCAGCGAAATTGTTTCAGCTAAGTTTGGCCCAATATTAACAAAAAAGCTGACAGGGTTCTCAGCAATGGAAGATTTTTAATAGATTAATTTACCATTTATCAGAAGTTATTTTGGAAGAATATTTTTTATACTTTTGTTTTTTCTGATTATTTCATTAATAACATGCCATGTTATTTAATAATTTTATCTAGTAAATTTATTTGGAGCATTTTTTTTTTAAAAAGATTTTTGTAATTTTGTATGTTTCCTCATTTTTATGCGTTATCTTTTTTAGAAATTTATTACACAATTTTTGTTCAGTAATTGATTTGAGTAGGCATACGAACATTTATGAAGTTTGATAAAACTAGGTAAATGAAGAACTTGTTTTTACAAAATTTTCTTTCGTTTAACTTGCGGCGCTGTTTAAAAATAAATCGTAAGTATTATCAATTCTTGCGACTCAAATAAGATCCCAATTGACTTTATTTTTTAAAAGATTTTTAAATTTTTGAAGGAGTTTTCATTGAGTTTTATTCAGATTAGTCAAAAATGTTTTAAAAAGTTTTTTAAACTTTTTTAAATTACAAGATAGGTTTTCTATATATGTTATTAATAATTATGCATTGAATTTTTTCAGATTGAGTCTTTATGCCTTGAATTGTTTAGCAAAACAAAAAGTTTTGCTAAACAATTCAATGCATAAAGACTCACAATCTGTTTCATTTACCCAAAGATAAGTAAAACAAAGTTAACAGAATTGTGAACGTAAATACTCACACTCCACCTGTTTTAAATTTTCGTGGTTAATGAATTAAAACGTAGTTATTTAGTTCAAATTGTGAATTTGTTTTATCATTTTTGCACCAAGTTTCCGTAATGCAAATTATTTTGAAGGCGTATTTAAGTTTGTCTAATAATTTTTTAAAATTTTCGAAATTTTTATGAAGACTTCTGATATTAATGTTTAAAATTGAGAACTTCTTTTTAATCTAGTTAAAGAAGCTGTGCACATTCTGAAATTGTGTAGTATTTACTTCTAAATTTTTTTTTTATTTAAATAAATAATGTTAGTTTTATTATAAAAAAGGCCATAGTTTTGATCATAAAGTTTAATAATGAAATTTCCCTAAATTTTCTTTAAATATGATAAAATAAGAAAATAAAAGTAGAAAAAAAGGTAAATAAGAAGTTTAAAATACTTAGGAGATTAGTTTTTTTGGATTGCTTACTTTATTTATTTGTTTTTTATTTTTATTTATCTATTTAAGTTTTCATGCTATATTTTTCTATACAATGTTCTCAAGGACGGCGCGAAGGGGTGAGGGGGTTGGTGGTGTAACACCCCTCCATCAATGATTTTTAGTCGGCAAATTTGACCCTTTTTGACTAGTTAAAGATAAAAATGAGATTAAAATACGACTAACGAGGAGGGATAATTATAATTTAAAATAATATTTACTTGATTAACATTTTTATAACATTAGTAAGCTAAATTTAAGTAAATCTTAATTATCCAAGTAAATAAATATAAATTAAACGGATTAGAGGTTAAAAAATACCAAATCAATGATGAGAGAGTTTTTAAAAAAATCGGTTTTAATAATAATCGATATTAATAATAATAACACAACGTGTTTAGTGAAGAGCTTCTCTAATATTATTTGAGAAGCTATTCTTAATTCACCAAACATTTTGTGAACGCATAATTATTTTCAAAAAAAAACAAGACATTAATTAACAGACAAATATATACATTTATCAGTTAGTTTGAAACAAGTAATGCAAGAACATCAGCTTTTAGATATTCACCATTTTCCGAGTTGTACTTTTGAAGCTCGTAGAAGTAATGGAATAAGGCTGACCTAATTAGAAGGTGGTTGAACTGGTTTTAAATAAGACTGGTTTAAATAATAACTGGTTTTAATAACTCGAGAAAGTAATTATAATTATAATTATTATTGATCGCCATCGGATCACATACATAACAGAAGCTTTGCCCTCCACATAAAAAGTTATAGATAGCAAACAAATTTGTTCAATTTACTTCTGTTTATTGTACATTTCTAGCTAAAAATATATATTTAATAGGAAAAAAAATGTAATATTTGTATATAAAAACAAATAATTTTAATGAACTAGTTAATTCCAAAGAAAAACTAACTCCCCGACAAACGTAATTACAAAATGCGCTAAGAAATTTTTTAGCTTTTATAAAATAACGTAGGTCAGGCGGCCACGGGTTCTTGAAACATTTATCTGGTACTAACTCAAAGAGTTTTTAAATTATCTCCTTAAAAGATCTTTTATGATATCTTTTGATCTCTAAACATTTCATTGTACAGATACTGTTAATAATTAACGACTAGCAGTAAGCAACCCGTAATACGCGTTGTTAGAAAATAAAATTAAAAAACCGCGTATAGAAAAGCATAGAAACTACTTTAAAATAGAAGCCTAGAAAATGACGTAGTTCGACTAATAATATTAAATTAGCGTATTAATATTATCAAATATATACAAATTCTTAAAAAGATTGCGTTAATTGGAGAACCGGGGCATCGATCCCCGTACCTCTCGCATGCTAAGCGAGCGCTCTACCATTTGAGCTAGTTCCCCTTGGAATATTATAAAAATTAAAATTAATAAACAAATTAATAAATAAAAACAACTGAAGGTTTTGTCTTGAATTAAAAAACGCCCGTTTTCAGTAATTTAAATTTTAAACTTCAAAGTTGTCCTAAACTCGAATAAAACAATGTATTTCATTTTTGTTAGCTCACGTTTTACACTTACGCTTTGTTATGTTTTACACTTACGTTTTGTTAGCTCACGTTTTACACTTATGTTTACAATAGACTAATTATCTAAATCTATTTTATTTTAGAGATACACCCTTTTTTATTTTTATAAAATAAAATTAAGCAAGCAGACTACTAGAAGCAGGATAGTACTAGACTACTAGAAGCAGGATAGTACTAGACTACTAGAAGCAGGATAGTACTAGACTTTCACAGTTCTATTTTTCCAATCTAGCACTAAAATTTTCTTAAAAGTTTTTTAAGTTACAGATTATCAAATCAAGGAAAGTGAATAAAACGCATTTTGAATACATACATGTTAACAAGCATGATGTTTTAAAGTTAGTCTAAAACATTAGAACTAAAATTCCATTATTTAAAAGTGGGGCACTATTGATACATGGCGCGGTATGAAACATTGTAATTGGGAGGCACCTTAAGAGTCGTGACAATAACTTTTATATGAAATATGAAATGTGAAATTTGTCGTAACTAATAGTAACTGTTACTACTAGAGCTTCAGTACTAGTCTTTAAAGTTCATAAGTTTTAAGGTATCTTATTCTATCGGTAAGTAACATTATTTTGTAAACTAAAACCCAAGGGATTTTTACTTCATTAAACAAAATCATTGAATGAACAAATTGATACTAAAAATAAAGTTATTGTTTTCAATTAGCAAGTAGAAGCGAATTTACGAGAAAAAGGAAGGGGGGAAAGAAGTAGGGATGTGTGACACCCCCTCCCCTTCAAAGAAGGTGATTTTCAAATTATAGTTGGTTTTTTGAGGAACATAGTTAGCTAGTCGGGTATTTAATACATTTTAGTCGAGTGAATTTTAGTTTTAAGAAGCTTTTTTTTTTATGAGCTAGTAAGTTTGGTCTTTAGGAATTTAACCTCCCCTCCCCCCCCTCCCCACTACCACACACATTTTCTTTGTAAAATCACCTCTGTTAGCAAGTATGTAGGGTAGCTTGATAACTTGACACAATTTCATAAATTTTTTGCTTAATGTTTAGAAAATTTTTTTTCCTTTGTTTATTATTTATTTGTGATATTTATTTCGATATTATCAAACTTTTAATACGCAATAAGTAAAAGTTATAAATTATCAAATAAGTTTTTATTAAACTCTCATTTTTAGTTTTTAAAAATTGACCAGAATGATTATTATTAATATTTGTAAAAAAACAACGCGTGACCAAAAAATGAGTCAGGCGTTTTTCTCATATGAACACGAGCTGAAATTCATCCTGTAAATCCAAAAGGTCCTTTGCGGTTCTTTGCCAGTTCTTTGAAGAACCTAAAGGTTCTTGGAGGTTCTTTAAAAAACCTAAAAATGAAACGGGTTCTTAATATTCTCTAATGGTTCTCTGGAGAACCGGCGGTTTATTTTAATTCTAAACCGGCGGCTTTATTAATTCTAAAGCAAAACGGGACGACGCTTTGCTTTAGAATTAATAAAGTTATTTAATTTTAAATGTTTCAGTTTTGTTTAATTACAAGTAAATTAAAATAATTCTTTCGTCCCCAAATAAAAATAGATTCTGCAACTTTTTATTTATTATGTGAATAAGTTTTAGTATTATTTTGTAATAGGGTGGGTTTTTTGTTTTCTAAGTTGATATTTTTTAAGTTTCCCCCGTTTTTAAATATTTTTGAGTGCCCTCAAATGTAAATCTGCCGTTTTTCTTTGACAAGTCTAAATATTTTTTCAAACATTGAATTTTACTTTTTGTATAGCTGAGATTTTAATAAAAATTTTTACTGACAGCATTCTAAAGTAGGTTTATTTTTTGTTGTTGACGTTGTTGTTGGTTACCAATTAGTAATTTAATTACAACAGTTTATCAGTAAGTCTTATTAATAACTTACAATTTACCTAATTTTAAAGTTATATATATATACATAGACTCATTAAACCAGGAAGAGATCTTCATAAAGATCATCCGGATACGAAATTTTGTTTTGCTTCGATTGAGAATTTAAAGGAATTGGCTTCATTCTTGGGAGCAGCAGAAGTTGCCAAGATAACAAAGCAAAAGTGCCAATTGGTGTCCCAGCAGCTACTTTACAAGCTCCCTTGATCATGCATATGGAATATAAAGTAAGATTACCTGCTCACGATTTTGTCAATGCTCCATGCCATAAACTTATTCCATCAGTCTATGCTGGGCTAAAAATTGAAAAAGATAGATTTGGTAAAAAAAAAAAAATTGTGCGCTTTTCGGGCCCTACCTATAATTCAATAAGATCAGCAAAAAATTCGAAGTCCACTGCTTATTCTCATGCAAGAGATTTTGCAAAATTATGTAGACTACCGCAATTTCGAGACATTATGTTGGATTTGAATGGTAATACAAAGCCAATTGTTATAATGTTTACTGACGGAGGCCAGATGAAAAACCCAGATATCAAAAAACGATTAAAATGGCCATTCACAACTTTATCACTTTTTCTTTGGATTCTTTAATAATTGCCGAAAATGCACCACACAGAAGTGCATTTAATCCAGTTGAACGAAGAATGGCTCCACTTTCACGTGAACTAATTTTGCCTCACGAAATTTATGGATCACATTAGGACTCTTCTGTAAAGACAATTAACTTAAAGTTGGAAAGAAAATTTTAAATATGCTGGCGAAACACTAGCCAAAGTCTTCTCCAACGTAGTGATCGATAACTTTGAAACCTACTCAGAATTTATTGACACGCTTAACTCAGAAATTGATACCGAGGCAGTAATTAAAAAAAGTCAAGAATAGATTGCTGTTCATGTAAGATCTAGTCAGTATACGTTGCAGATTTCAAAATGTTCGGACATCAAATGATGTACTGAGCCACGTGGAAAGTATTTTAAAATTTTTAAAGAAAGATTTCTTCCACCTCTCATTCCTTTTTGTTATTGCCCACTTTTTGAGCCACAGTTTTCAGTTGACAAGACTTATCGCTATACATCTCTTTTCCAATCTCTACATCTTGCTCCAAACAATATTCCGTTCGACCAACACTGTCCAAGTATCATAACAATCCTTCAAAGTAGAGTGTGCAAAAAGTGCAACATTTATTTTGCATCATCAACTTAGCCTAATAATCATAAAATAGTTTATCCAAAATAGAATAAAGACTTTATTCTATTTTGGATTGTGAACTTTATTAAAGTTCAAAAACAAAAAGCCAAGATAAAGAAGATTATTCAAAAAGAAGAAAATGCACAACTTGCTTTCTTAGAAGGCGATAGAGGCTTTAAAGCAAAAGAAAGGGTAGAGAAAAATATTTTACAAGGAGAAGAATCAAACTTAATGATTTTTTTTATAGAAGAGCTCGTTTGTGAACAAGAACAGTCAATTCCAATTTTTTCTATTGCATAACATTCTGTTTGGGAAAATATTAGAAGATTCTGTTTGGGAAAATATTAAGTAGTAATACAAATTTTAACTGAAGAATACTTGCTGTTTTTTTAAAAAAAAAAAAAAATATTTTTTAGTGTGAATTTTTGTGGTTAATATTTTGTGATACTTTGCGACAAGAGGGAAGGGGGTCTAAAAAGTTGTTTTTATATGTGACATAATTTGTGAATGACCCCTTGAATGTTCTATAAAAAGTTTAAAGTTTAAAAAAAAAAGTTTTATCACTATCATTAAAAAAAAGTCGTACTTTGTTCTAAAGAAAATTGGAGAACCGGGGCATCGATCCCCGTACCTCTCGCTTGCTAAGCGAGCGCTCTACCATTTGAGCTAGTTCCCCTCTGTCATGGGGAAATAAATAAATTTAAAAATGAAAAGCTAATTTATAGTGCTTTTTTTAAGCAAATTAACCCGCTTAAATAAAGAGAAAAATGTGTAAAATTCTTTTATACAACGAGATGTTTCAACATGGTTCTGCGTTGTTTAAGTTTCTTTAAGTTACGCTAATAAATAATAAATAAAAACATAAGATTAAAAATATGCAAAAAAATATTCAAAAACTAAAATTAAAAAACTATGAAACTGTAAAGGGAACTTTAATGTTATTTTTAAAGGTTCATTAAAAGTCGTAGATTAAGAAATTAGGTTTCCGCGAAATACAGGAAAACAAATCAATAATCTAAATCTCAAATGATTCTCATCTTTGTTACAGAATAACTGTTTAATTCCGGTTACATACTTGAAATTATACATCTAGATATTCAGCGTTAAGATTTCCGATGAAACCTTGGTTTCATCGGAAATCTTAACGCTCGTTTAAGTTAAAAGAAGCAATACAAATTTGTGGGAACAAAATTTATAAGTTTATTAAATAAGACAAAGATAGAGTTAACAAAATCTATTGTTAATACAATACCATTTTTTTGAATTAGCAATATATTGAAAAATAAATACTTTGTTTTTTTTACAGAACATTATTGATACAAACAAGGAGAGATAATTGATAATTAAATCTCTTTAGTATAAATAAAAGTGCAATTTTTTAGATTTCGTCTTTAGACTACACTCATTTCGCCTAGAACAAAGACCTGGACTTATCGGTGTTATCAGCGATAAGTCCAGGTCTTTGTTTTCTGAAGTTATCATGATAATTTCAGATAAGGAAGGTTTAAAAAAAGTATTAAATATTTTTTAAACGTCTTAAACACGTTTTGTGCTTACAGGGTCACGACCAGTTGGCATCAGTATATGCACTATGCAAGCGTATTCTGCATACTTTAGATTCTCTCTCAACTATCGAATACTTTTGTTTGATGCTAATACTGGTTGGTGGCGTATTTTTTAAGCAGTCTAAGGTTTGCTGCCGTTTAGTCGTGTTTCTAATACTAGCACCATATGCTAAAGTTGCCAAGGTCTATTTGCCGCATTTTTTCATCTTCAATTTAAAGGCGTTAATTTTGATAAGCATTTGCCAAGTATTTTACTAACAACTTTTTAACATGAAACGTTTAAAGAGGAATCATAAAAAGCGATATATATGATCGCTTTCTGATCTTTTTCATATCTGATTTTTGTTTTTTAAAGAAAAAACAAAACAAGTAATAACGGAAAAAAAAAACACATTAAAGAATTCAATATTCAGGCGTCAAGAAATTATTTACTCAAAGTAAACTGGACATATTTCCATAATTCCAAAGATGCTAACAAAACCTATGAGTTTTTCTACAACGGGTTTTTTTGACGCCTACGACAAAGCATTTCCAAAGAAGGAAATCAAAATCAAGCTTAATAGTCTACAAAGCTTTAACCCAAAATTTGGATTACAGAGGAGCTTATTAAAGCTTCCAAGAAAATACAAAAAACTATATAAAAAAACTTAAAAAAAAAAAACTTATCAAAAGGAAAAAAGTCTAGAAAAACCTGGTCGAAAATTAGAAAGAAAAAATCTTTAAAAAATTCATTATCAAATTTATTACAAAAAATCTTGGAAAGTGATAGAAAAAAAAAGCTTATGGTAATACTATACCATAATATTTATATTCTCAGGATGAGGTCGTCTCATATTAAATTCTAATAAATACGCCAGTGCCAATCCACTGCTAAGAAAACTTGGAGTGCTAAATGAGTGCGACCTAAATTCAAAATGACATAGTGAGCTGGGCTGACGGCGCGGGTTTCGAAATTCTAAATTAAAAAGTTTTTTTGCAAACATTTGAAGATTAGAACGCTGTGGTGTTATAGGGGCTGCCGAGGGACGACCTCAGTTGTGGTGCTCATTTCTTCCAAATAACTATAACTTCAATTCAAACTTCTAAAAGTATTTTTTTTAAAAAAAGATACTTGAGTATAAAGTTATATAAATATTCTATCTTTTTTCCGTGAACCACTATTTAGCATAAACAAAAAGTTTGATAACTTTCAATCTAGTTTTTAAGAAGTTCGGCGAGAACTTGATGAAATCAAATCTGGCTTAAATTTTGTTGGCGATGTTTTCAATGATAAAGCTACACTGTTAAAAATTCCCGTACTTTTACGGAATTATTTTCCGTTATTTGTACGGAAACTACCCATTTAACAAAACTGAACGGAAATTTTCCTTCTTTTTTGAAACACGGAATTTCCGTTGGAAAAAGGTTTTATTATGGAAGCCAAAGTAAAATTTTAGCATACAAACTTGTCACATTAAGAAACAATTTTAGATTTTTTAGATAGCGCGTTTTTGTATATATATATATATATATATATATATATATATATATATATATATATATATATATATATATATATATATATATATATATATATATATATATATATATATATATATATATATATATATATATATATATATATATATATACATAATATATATATATATATATATATATATATATATATATATATATATATATATATATATACATATAATATATATATATATATACATATTATATGTTTATGTATATATATACATATATATATATGTGTATATATATATATATATATATATATATATATATATATATATATATATATATATATATATATATATATATATATATATATATATATATATATATATATATTAACAGTCAATGGCCTACCAACTGCGCCATTGACTGTTCATAGGTTTAATGTTTAATTTTGGCACTTAACTATATTAAAATTCTAAATTTTAATATAGTTAAGAAATTTTAAAATATTATATTAGGAAATTTTAAAATATTGTAACTTTAATTGATTCCTTTTCAAAAAATTTCCTTATCGTTCTATATGAATATCTAAGTTGTACCAACAATAAAATACTTTAAAATAATACAATAAAATTCTTTAGTATTTTTTGATACTTTTTAAATATATTTTATTACAGTCTATCAAGGTGGATAATCTGCAAAAAAAAAAAAAAAAAAATGATCCAAGATAGGTATTGTATAGGTACTTTGGTTTTTAACAATTTTTTACTTTAATCACTTATATTTAGTAACAATTTAAGGTAACCATTGCACATAATGTTTTTTATAATTATTACTTTGTTAAATATTAAAATCTTTCCTTACTCAAAAACTTTATTTATTTATTTATTTTTTTTTTTTTTTTAGATTTAGAGTTGACTCAAAATGGAAAAGAAAGAAAAGACTGTATTTTTGTGTATTTGGATTGCTTTTGATTTACTTATATTTATATTAGTTATTTAACCAATATCTATTACTTAAAGAGTTTTTAAGTATATCTATCTTGTAAATGTATAAAGGAATATGTAATATAATTATATTATTATGTGCTTGTGTATACTTTATCAAAATTGTTAATAATTTTTTAGAAAGTGTTTATTACTTTACTAATTTTTTATTTATTTGTGTAAAATTGCTGTTGAAGTGAAATGTAAATCACGGAAATTTTAATATTTTTTATGTAAATCAAAGAAAATTTGTTTTCAGAAAATATTTTCAAAAACATACCATTGATTTTATATTTATAAGATTTGCTAGAAATAATTTATTTAAATTTTACTTTTATTTACGGAAACTATCCGACAGCTGAGTTTCCTTTCCGTTGTTTAACGGGAAAAACTTGTTTAATTTAAACGGAAGTATCCGTTTATTTATGGAAAAGTTCCGGCAGCTGCCGATGACCAAACTACCCGTTGTTTAACGGAAAAAACCCATTGTATTTTAACGGAAAAAATCCGTTTGTTAACGGAAACATCCGTTTACATGCGATGGGTTTTTCCGTAAAATGACGGGTAGTTTGGTCATCGGCAGCTGCCGGAACTTTTCCGTAAAAAACGCGCTATATTTTTAACAGTGTAGAGCAGTTGAGGAAAAAATAAATAAAGTTCATGATGATTTATCAAATGTAAGAAAAATGAAGGGTAAAATATCTTCGGACAATATTGAATTAAAATTAAAGAGCGTCGATATTGAAGACCGTAACAGAAGAAATAATTTAAGAATTGACGGGATCGTCGATAATGAAAAAAAAGATTGGGAAATCACAAAAAAAAAGAGTAAAACAACTATTTAAAGATAACTTTGGTATTGAAAAAGACATTATAATTGAACAGGCTCATCGAGTGGGAGCAACTAATGATAAACGAGAGCGAACAATCGTCTTGAAACTCCGTGATTACGAGGATAAAAAAACAATTATGGAGAGAGCAGTTAAATTAAAAGTAACCAATATTTTTTTAAACGAAGATTTTAGTTTCACAACTCGAAAAATTCGTAAAGAACTTTTTGATCAGGCAAAGATACATCGTCAAAATGGCTATTTTGCAAAAGTTGTTTACAACAAGCTTATTGTTCACGAATTTCGAGAAAACACCCGCAACACAGATGTTAATCCGACATGCGTCAACGAGTAAGCGTTTTAAGTATTTTTTTTTTTATTTTGAAAAAAAAAAACTAAAAAATGGCGTCGCTTTTTTCAGAGAAATTAGATTTTCATAATTTAAATTTACATCTTTTTGAGGACAACTTTATGAATAATCTATCTGAAGAAAACATAAATATTTTTCAAGAAACTCAAATCAACTTAATTAACACACCGTATATTGATCCTTTTGATTTTAAAGTAAAAACAGATAATTGTTCATTTTCTGTATTACACAGAAACATTAGAAGCATGTAGCAAAATTTTGATAAACTTAAAGAATTTTTAAATATTTTAAATTACACGTTCGACGTCATTTCTCTTTCTGGCATGATACAGAAAGTACTCTTGAATTAAATTCTAATTATACTTTACCATTTTACAAACTAATTAGTCAACCACGAGGTGGTGGGAAAAAAGGAGGAGGATTAGGAATTTATGTCTTGGAAAAGTATGCTTTCAAGATAAAAAACATACTATGCTTTTTTAATAATAATTATGAAAGTCTTTTCATTGAAATTATTAATAAAAAATAGTGAAACGTTTTAGTTGGATGTTATCGTCCACCGAGTGGAAAAATAAAAACCTTTGAAACTTTTATAAAAAATACGATTATAAAAATAAATAAAGAAAATAAAACATTATATATTACTGGTGACATAAATCTTGATGCTCTTTCTAACACAAAATTTCCAAAAATAAAATCTTTTTTTGATATGCTTTTTAAATTTAATGTCTTGTCAACTATTAATAAACCAACGCGAGTAACAAAAACCTCGGCAACAGCAATCGACAATATTTTTATTAATAATTATTTAGAAACGACATTTGAAACCAGTATATTTATGACAGATATTAGTGATCATTTCCCGGTTTTCATAAAAACAAAAAATCTAAAAGCTATGACTGATTGTCATTCAAAAATCATACATTTGAAACAACAAAATTTAAATATGACTAACACTAATAAATTAACAAATAGACTAAAACAAGAAACATGGAACAACGTATATAAATGTCAAGATACGAATAGAGCATACAATGCTTTTTTAAGTACATTTTTAGAGTACTTTAATGAAACATGTCCTCAAGAGATTATAAAAATTAAGTCAAAAGCAATCGCTAATCCGTGGTTATAACATAACCAGCAATGTGAATAAGTGACATTTTAACATCATCAGCAATAGAAGATTCTAGATCTTGCAAGTTATCAAGAATTTCGCAGCAGTCTTCAGACAATTTGTAATCACATAACGCACATTGATGACCAGACTTCACATTAAAATTGTCAATATCTACATTTAACTTCAAAAGTAAAGATGCATGTTTGATACGTAATTTTTCAATAACTTGTTGAACACTAAGAAAATATGTACCACAAGAACCTTGACGAAGTATGCTATATTCTTTTTCCAGGTGATCTGAAGTAAATTGACCAAGAAGTACATAGTTTTGCGTAGTGTTAAGTAAATATCTACATAAATCTACTAGTCCATAACAAGTTTGATGTATACAAGTTGCAGTATCTTTATTGTAGTATTAAATTTAAACGGTTGTCATCAGGATTGTTGATAACAGCCTGCAAAGGATCATTATGCCTTGTATCAGCACCAATGGCTTTGACATTTAAAATTTTCCACCAAATAATAACTTTATAAATAAATGTAGCAGTGTCGTTAACATCAATATGAATCATGTCAGGATGTTGCAAAAGAGCAGCATAAGTTTTTTCTGAAAATAATCTTAAAACTGTTAATACACACTGTCGTTCAACAGGTTTAGAAGAAATAAAAGTTTCATTCAGGTCAGATAACTTTAGAAAGCTTCTGGATTCTGCATTGTAAAGCTGCTTTAAATGAGTCCATTTTGCAATCCTGGTTACTCCGTTATCGTCAAATATTAATTCCTGAGTTTTTTCAGTTAACCAAATATTACGAATATTTTTTATGAGGTGTACAAAATCATAAAGTAAATACTTTCCATCTACTGTTAACCATGGTTTTCCCGGAATGAATGTGTACATTTAAAAAAAAGCCTGATTGACACGATTCCCATCACATATAACAGCTTTTACATTTGTACTGACTGAATCAATTATTTGACTAGCTAATTAATCTGTTCAAACAGAAAATCAGATCGTAATTTTGATATTGGTATCATTTTAATTAACACCTTTGGACCCCCATTTAAACAAACAGCCATAATCCCTAACAATGTTTTGGACAATTCCACTGATACAATATCCTCCGATCTACCAAAAATAGTTCCACCATGGTAAAGCAAACTTTTTTTAACATATATTTCATCATGTAGTATGATACATAATTTCTGCTTATCCGGAAGAGAGTTAAAAATTGAATAAATAAATTTGTTTTCATTAATATTAGAAATTTTTGAAGTAATTCGAGTCAGTGTTGAAATAGATGGAAGTTGATAATCATTTCTTAAGCGATTATATAATGCCCTTGATGTTAAGAAATATACAAAAATCTCCAACTAATTTTGGTCCCATAACTGAAACATGTTACATAATTACTTCTTTTTTATTATCAATTTTCAAAAAGCTTTAAAAACGAAGTATCTCATCAAACTTAGACCAGGAGTCTAAGATTCGATTTACTGTTAAGCTAGAAATGTGACACTTAATCCCATAATGAAATGTTTCAAAGGTAAGATTTTCATAAATTTTAAGTACAAAAAAAAGTATTCCATTAAAAAATTGCAAAGATTGTATAACAACATAGCCATCAACCATAAACGATATAACTGGATATTGGTGATCACTGCTATCAATAAACTTGTTTTTAATGTCACAAAAAGTAGCTTTATCCCTTTTAAGAAATGTATCTAGCTCATCATCTATTATACTTCTAATGCCACTTGTACTTCTAATGCTACTTAAAGATCTTTTGGTAGATCTTTCAGTTGGATAACCAGTTGGAATTTGAGATAAAGGTATTCCTAGCCAAACAGAAGGAGGATTTTTTGGTCGACGTTTTCCTCCACGCACTATAACTGTATCAAAATTTGGAGGCCAGTGTAACTCACAGATAACAGTATACTTGGTAACAACCAAATTAGAATTTGGAATAGCTTTTATCCATTTTTCACGCTCAACGTTATCACTTGGAAACCGATACACTGATATTTTATTAACTTCACTAGATATTTTGTTTTTTTCACTTTGATAGTTGGTTTGACAAGCATACACACAACATTTATTTGGCATGATGATTTAATCTAAATTTTATAAATATATTATTTGCTTTAAATTATATCTGCAACTCCATGTTTAAATTATATAAGTTTATTAACATTGTATTATATTCCATTATTTAAATATTTGTCATAAACGACATGACATTGTATCTTGTCTAAACGTGGAAAAATAATTTTTTCGCCGTAAAAAAGTAGGCCTCCACAAAAAAATCCGGTTGCGCGATGAATAGGCCTGTAGTAGAGAACGCTATGCCCAAATCAGTTTGGTTTTCAAAAATATCTCTCTACTGAGCATGCAATCATTGAAATAGTAAATCAAATAACTAATGGTTTTGAAAATAGCAAATTTACTTTTGGAGTATTTCTTGATTTATCAAAAGCATTTGATACAGTGGACCACTGTATTCTCTTAGATAAATTAAGACATTATGGAATAATTAATAAAATTAATAATTGGATTAAAATCTATCTTACAAAGAGAAAACAATATGTAAATAATGCCCAATCTGGAGTGTTAAATGTCATATGTGGAGTTTCGCAAAGATTGATTCTTGGTCCACTTCTTTTTTTAATATATATAAATGACTTTTGTAATGCATACTTAAAACTTAATTCAGTCATGTTTGCAGATGACACGAACTTATTTCTTACTAACAACGATATCAAGAAATTATTTGCGGACATGAATATTGAACTAAATAAAGTAAATAACTGGTTTAAGGCTAACAAACTCTCACTTAATGCCGAGAAAACAAACTCTATGCTTTTTCATAAAAAAACACAAGAAGAAAATCTTCCTCTCAAGTTGCCGAACTTATTTTTAAATGATAAATTAATTAAAAAGCAATCCAATATAAGATTCTTGGGAATCGTTGTTGATAAAAAATTATCCTGGCTTCCTCATATAATATATATCCAGTCAAAAATTACCAAAATCATAGGTTTAATATATCGAGTTCGCTCGTACATCAATACAAATAGTCTTAAATTAATCTACTTTGGGCTAATTCACAGCCTCATCAGCTATGCAAACATTTCATGGGCAAGTACTCAAACAGCAAAGCTTAAGAAACTTTATAGTTTTCAGAAACATGCCTGTAGAATCATTTACTTTAAAAATAGGCGGGAACACGCTAATCCCTTGATGAAAGATATGAAAATGATGAATGTATTTGAAATAAATATCTACCAGCATTTAACTTTTATGTATCGTTACAATCACAATATCTTTCCTATAAGCTTTAATAATAAGTTTGAGTTAAATAAAAATAATAACTATAATCTTAGAGCGAATATGTTAAACACATATAAACTGCCTAGGATAATAAATAAATATTCAGAATACAGTATTTTATATCGAGGTCCAAAAGTATGGAATATTTTTCAAAACGGGTTCAAAGGAACGGTGAGTTCATTAAGTTCATTCAAGTTTTTAACAAAAAAAGAAATCTTTAAAACCTGTGAAACATTTTTTGTTAATAATGCATTGGATAAATTCTCTTAAATACGTTTTTGTTTTGTTTCTACTTTTGTTTGTTGTTTGACAAATTTTATTAGCGGATTACGCATTTTGTTATGATATTTTATTGAAATTTTTATTTTGTATGTCATATTACGATATTTTAATTAAATCTTGTTAAAGGGGTTCTATAAAAAGATTGCGATGACGTTCTGTCATCCTCATCTTCTTTGAGCTCCTATCTGTTTTACTTGTTTTGTTAAATTTTATATTATGTAGTGGAATTTGTAAAATTCTAATGTTATGTAAACAGA